GTGGCCGCGCCTCAGTTTGCTGAAACCATGCATCCGGATGAGATTCCTTCGCATCGGAAGGGGGGCACAGCGTCCTGTAGTGTCCACCCATGAGTACAAGACTGACAGCCGGAGCTGCCTTCCTAGCAGCCTTAGCGACACCCTGCTCAAACCATGGCGCCAACACTGATCTCTGCCAGCAGTTGGTTCTCGGACAAAAGCTCCAAATGATGAGCGGCGTTCCGATCCTGATTGCAAGAGCCTGAGCAAGCATGCCCTCCAACCAGAAGTCTTTACGTGTAGCCAGCTTAGTAAACTCCTTGAACGAAGTGGGGGCAAGGTGATTCCCACGATGTTCAGGAAGCTCCTCAGGGTCCTCAGTCCACGTCTCGGCAAAAGGACTCCTCATGGCGATTGAGATGTCCCACCGCCAAGAGTCTAAGACGACTCGCTTCACATGCCAGGGCCTGTTCGTCTAGGACCTTCCCAGCACTGACAGCGAGACCGTGGGCTATCGATCTGAATCCGCAGTCCCCTTGTCCACCGTTGTCTATGATCCGCCATCCTGGACACTGCAACAACAGCAAATCATCAGGGAGGGCTGCCTTCACCGTTTTGGAAGCCTTGCCAGTGCCCTTCTTGGGGGGAGATCGAGAACGCGCACGGGTGCTCTCAAGCTCAAGGAGATCGACCGAAGGCGTGGATTTGGCCTTGGGAGTGGCAGCCACAACGGCAGGGTGGCTCCTAACAGACAGGGCGTCATCATCAGCGTCATCCACAACAGTGGCTTCATCACGCCAACAAGCCGTGCCAGCCTCCCAAATCTTCTTAGGAGCTCGAATCTTTTCCGTACTGCGATTAACAGGTTTGCGTTTCACATCTTGAACCGCAATCGTTATGCTACGATCAACATCAGCATACGTGAAGGAAACTACGTCATCATGGTTCTCCGGACGAGTGGCTTTGAAGGTCCAGACCGGGTTAGACCCTTTCTTGGGTCCTCTGCGCCTGTGCAGGATCTCAGCCCGCAGCCATCCTTGCTCAGCAAGAAAGCTGAGCACGTCCTCGGGGACCCAAGCCTTTGGCGAGTCGTACAAGCACCAAACTTGAGGCTTTCTTTCCATGAATTCGGCCGGGTCAGCGCCGACTAGGCCAAGGTCACTTCCTCCACCCTGTCTGAAGGCGATAGGGAGCTGACGACGCATGCTGCAGGATTGCGCGTACATCAAGTAGTCCTCTGCACTAAAACCTTTCTCCCGAGGGAGCCAGGCTACCTCTTGACGTCCAGCAGAGCCGAGCAATTGCAAACACATGATGCCTCGGTGCCCACTGTGCTGTGCAAGCTTTTCAGCAAGACTTCCGTGGACTCGAACATGCCCGACCAGGGCCTGACCTGCTTTCTGGGTGATTCTCTGCCAGTGGCCCCCGGTCAGAGAGCTGACCTTGCAGCTTACGACCTGAGCGAGCTCAGCAATCACCTTAGAGGGATCATCTGTGGCACTAGGTCCGATGACCAACGAACGGTAACACGAGGGCGCACTGATCCTGACCGTCACCATAGTGGTGTTCGAGTCAACCTTGATCCTGACCGTCGTCGGAGGCTTGAGGTCAGGGCCAACTCCGTCTCCCATCTGCACAATTTCAAGCTTCGTGCGTTGAGGAGGGGCAGAGTCCTTTGGGGAAGTCCACCACAGCGCAGTCGAGGGATTGATGCTGGACTCCGAAGCAGGAAAGCCGAATGCTAATGGCCCCGGCGGAGCAAAAGCATTGAGTAAGTCCTGAATCTCGTGCTGAACCTCAGCGTCCCTGCTGATGATCAGGTTGCCCGACAAAGTCCCTGAGGCCTCAAAAAAATTCCGAAGGGCAGGGAGACTAGTGAGGGTCACATCATCATCCCACTCCGAAGGCAAGACACGAACCGCGAACCTGGGCACGGGGTTCTTCAGACCCTGAGCCCCCTTGGCCTTGCCTTTGCCTTTGGCCTCTGAAGTCTGAGGGTGAAGCGCAGGTCCGTCCTTGCCTTTGCCTTTTCCAGACTCACGACCAGCGTTGTTTGGTCGCCTAGCTGGGTAGAAGCTCTGAGCTTGGGGCGACACTCCGTTGCCCTTTCCCTTCACACGCTGCGAGGTACCACCGTCTGAGGGCACCGACGCCGGGGCCACTGCAGGAGTCGTAACTTGCCTAGTAAGGTCACTTCGGTCGATCCAGTTCTGGATCTTCAAGGAGACTGTCGTCATCCCACCCATGCTGAGCGGCAGACTGAAGCACAGACGTGAGAACTTGAAGCAAGCTGCCAGAGTGGGCAGTGTCCTTGCTGGACACGACAGGCCCTGCAACAGGGGCCGACCTGCTGAGCGCCGTGACCGGCGCACCCTCACTCTTTTGAGTCTGTTCACTCCTGAACTTCTGCAGAACCTGTAGTAAGGTGCCGGCCAAGGAAGCATCAAGGTTCGTGGCCTGACCACTCTGAGGGGCTGACGGAACACCATCGCCACCGTACGCTGCAGCTCTTGACTGCTGGGCTGCTTTGCGTTTGGAGGCTCGAGAGCCTCCTGGCCCTGGGTTTGACGCTTCGCCTACCCCCAGGGGCACCCGGAACCGAGTCAGTCGACGCACGACGTCTCGGTCTGCAGTGGAGAGCTGACCTTCGTCACACTGTTCGTTTCTAAGGCGAGGGCCGAAGGGCAACCTACCTGCTGCCCATCTTCTGAGGCGTACAGACCTCTTTCTAGAGGCTCGTCTGCGAAACCTGAGCCGAGCTGCTTTAACTCTCCTGGGTCCAGCGAGAAAGCGCGCCCTTTTCACAAAACGAAACTGAGTCACCTGGACACCTTTAGTCGGAGGACGTCTACAGTTCTCAGGTCGCGGTGCATTCGTGGCCACTATGTCAAGTGGAGTGATTTGCCGCCCAACATGCAGCAAAAGCACGAGGTAAGACACACATAATGCGGGTAAGCCAGCAACATGTGTATAAACATGCTCCCACAGAGCGAGCTTGTGACCTGTACCCTTGGCAAGGTCCGTCAACTTGCTTTCTTTACGCTTCAAGGCCTTCGCCAGGCGTTGCTTGCCCTCCTGAAGCCGAGGCTGCTGGGAAGGATCCTTTCGATACATTGCAGCTCTTGCAGTGTGTATGGTTTTCAGGGACGTGCCACGACCGGCATGCCTACGACAGTAATGCCTCTTGGCAGCAGTGACAAGGGCGAACCTAGACAAGCCATACGGGAGCCCATGCTTGCAAAAAGCACACGTCCAAGCTCTAAGCTTCAGAGGCACGTGCGGCATGGTGTCCGTGTGGGTACAGGTGCTACGAAGGTTAGACACCGTACGAGGATCAACATCAGGGTGTCGAAAGGCAAGGTGACGAGTGCGCAAACTGCTGAGTTTCCTGCCTTCTTCCTTAGTCTCACAGCGACACTGACAGAGAGGACAAGTCCATACTCGAGAGAGCGGTTTTGAGGAGGAATCAGGCGCTTTAGCAATGCTCATCAAACCCAATAACCGAATCACATTCAATACAGGCCTGACTCTTCCGACGAACCATCCCAGAGCTGGAAGAGACCTCCTCCGACCTGGGGACTTTGAGCCCTTGGGAGCACACGGAGCCACGTCCACGCCGCTGCGGGGTGGCAGAGGGCAACGACAGCTCTTCAAGTTTTCGCTTTTTTTCCCTTAGCAGGCACGCCGACAGAGCCTACTTCTCGTGCCTCTGACGCACTGCAAGCACCAGTTTTAGAGCCCCTTTGACCGTCAGCGGGGCCCTTAGGAGCAGGCATTCGGGCGTCCCGGCCTGCAGTGGCCTTGCCACTAGTACCTGCGCAGGACTCCCGACGCGAGGAGGCTGAGGGCGACGCTTTCCGACCTGAAACTGACGAAGACCTGGGTTTAGGGCCGCTTGGACTTCCAACAGGGCCCTTAGAGACAGGCATTCGAGAGGAGTGACCGGGATTGGCCTTCCCAGTACTACAAGCGCAGGACCCCCGACAGGAGGGAGTCGATGAGAGAAGACGGAGCCTACCATCCCGAGGAGCAGATGACAGAGCTGAGACAGAGGCAGGACCTTTAGGCGTGGACAAACACACTTGTTCCGCACCTAAACCCCCATCACAACGCGTGTGAAACATCAGCCCTAATCTTGCTGTGTTGGCCGTAGCGTGGCTGCCCGCGGGAGTGCTTGGGAATACCAGGGTTTTCTGCTGCAGCGTGGCGGCCCGCGGGAGTGTTTGGGAATACCAGGGTTGTCGGGTGCAGCATGGCGGCCCGCGGGAGTGCTCGGGAACACCAAGGATTGGGCGCTCACACTCGGACAATCCAGGCGAGGCATATGGTTCGGGGTCTGACGATGTGAAACGTTCTAGAAGGGACAGTCTGATAACAATCTCAAGCAACAAACTCAGAACAGATGAAGTAACTGTGTCCCGCAGACAGAGCCCTCTCCAAGATCCTATCAAGTAAAGCACAGAGAGAACAATGGGACCTTGAAGAATACAGAGCTGCAGATCACTTTCTTGGGTCTGGGCGTAATGACTATGTAGGCCATAATAGGAAGTAACTATAACGGACCAGGACGATCCAGGTACATGTGATCTGTGTTAGCATCATCATCTCGATGATGGCTGGTGTTCTAGCCTTATTACCTAGCTGTGCAATCCAAAGGAGGTGACACTGGGCGGGCGTATGGACTGGGAGCTGTCATGCATCATCTACCTACATGCACATGCACACTTGCAAATCACAAAAGTCAAACTATGATAGGAGTTATGATAAGAAATAAACGACTATCGAATGCGACGGATCTTCCTGTTGTGTGCTCATGCGTTTACGAATTCTCATGCTCTATACCATCTAAAGCCAACGCTAACTGATACATCATCCACCATCAAACTTGATCTTAACCAGGGTTTAAGGTTTAGGCTCGGGTTCTTTAAGTCTTAGGATTTGCGTGTAGGAAGGACAAGGCGCTAGGGTGGGGATGTTCGAAGTAAAACAATTGGAGAGGTTTGCTTTGCTTCCAAAGGCTCGGCGTCATTCTGAGCGGCGTCGAGCGTATCCTTCAAAAAAATCGCCGTTATCACCTGACATCGAAGTACAAACACGTAACCATGAAGTTGGAGGGGCGAATATTCAGCGGCAGTGGTGCAGGCACGATACATCTTCCACGGCATGAAATGGTCGGGAGGGGTGCTACTCAGTCAAGTGGCCCGGATGACGGCGAAGACCTTGGCCACCATTTCTGCTTCAAGACTTGGAGGCTGTGAGAGATCACCAGAAAAGCTATACATGCAGCAATCATTCAAGGCTAGCGGCCACAAGCGTGACATACAACAGGAAAAAGAAAACGTACGCGTGGCTCACCTTCTCCATCACAGGCCTTGCGTTTGTAGGCCAGTTCCTAAGTGCCCATCAGGGACCGACGGGTCAAAGATAGCGGAGCGGAGCGTATGGTTTATGGCTGCCCGCAAAACAGTGATTGACATATAAAGTGTTTTCCAAGGCTCCCTGCGAAGGTTACCTGGCGTTGCGCAAATTCCCGTGCACACCGGGACGCGTGGGAGCGGTTCAAAACTCGGGCACGTGTCAAACCACCTCCTTCATCAGGTTATGGCAATGACGTTGATCATGCGGAGCCGATGCTTTTACGTTGAGCAACATGCGCACCTACATCGCCTACATCCTTTCAATTCGCATTTAAAAGTCTCGGGTGAGACGCCATGTTCATCCGCCTTCGTGTGGCTCATGCGGAAACCTATTGTTTCTGATACAATCACATAACTGACAGAAAAACGAATTTCTCCTGTTGTTGCTGGCCGCTCCAGTGCCCCCAATGCAGGGTATGTTTTGCGACAAAAATGCACGTATGCTAGCATCGGGGGGCTGGCCCGCACAAAAGTCTCGACTCAAATCGGCATCTCTGGGCTCTGCAACACGGCCATCATGGGAAGCACCCGACTCGCCTCGTACAGTGTATAAAGCGCACGGTAAGCCGTGCCATACCGCGTCCAAATCCACAGTCGATCTTCGGGGTTTGCCTGAAAGAGACGACAGATTGTACACTCAGAATCGGAACCAACTTCAAACTATCTCTACACGTAACAGCCAATACTCCGATTTGCAGAAGCTGGGGATCTGGGTCTCTGTTGGTTTGGGCCTGTGTGGGATGTTTTACGCACTGCCACCTGTCGAGACCGAGACGGCAACGACAAAAACAGCAACAACCACCACAACGACAACAACAACAATAGTAATATATTGGACGCTGGGCGAGCCGGCTCTGTTCATAGCGGTCGTGTCTGAAGCTTCTGGGCGTGCCGTTGGGTCAACTGCAACGAAAAGGTTCAAGGAAGGAAAGCCCGCAGACCCATGGTGCGCCCTCAACAACAGACCTACCGGCATTCCAACAAAGGTTAAGCGGCCAAAAGGAACAGAAACCGGTTGTGGCACACGGGCTCGAGGACTTGCTGTCATAAGGAGCCCGGAACCCAGGAGTTGGGACCAGCCAGTTCACAGAGGCACGAGGCTCAGATGCAGTCTCAAATGGCTCAAGCAAAAGGACGTCCCGTACTGTTCGCAAAAGAGCCCGTTGCGAAACTGTAGAGTTGCGCCCCAAGCCTGGTTAGCACAGCTAAGATGCCTGCTGTGAACCGTAGCGGCAACAACAACAACAACAACAGCCACAACCACTAGCACAACAAGCGCAACAACCACCACGACCACGACCACAACCACGACCAACGACCAAGTACCAACGACCAACAAACAGCACCAACAATCCCAAAAAACAAAAACATCAACCACACCGGCACCGACACCAGCACCAACACCCAGCGGCGTCCGCAGCAGCATCAGCAACAGAAGAAGCAGCTGAAGTGACAGTACTATCGCAACATTGCAAGAGCCGCCGTTATCAGCTGTCGTCGTCGTCGTGGCTGTCGTTGTGATCGTCGTCAGTGTCGACGCCTCCTCCCCTCCAGCCCTCGAACCCTCAAACTCCCTGCTGCTTCCCGCCTCTTGGTTCTCTACGAAGATGAGGAGAAGGTTCCCCATCACCAAAGCACCCATCGACATGAACACGGCCAGCAGGACCATGGACCAGCCTCATCTACTCTTTGGGCTGCCTCAGAATCATCCTGACCATGCGGCCCTTTGTGTCTCTTTGTGTTACTGTTACTCGTTGTCTAACTCATTAAGCTGGCAAATCCTGGATTGAGGATCCTGGATTATACGTAGGCGTTGCGGTTCCCCCGCTAGAAAACAGCTGCTGGTCACTGCCCATCCTGCCGAAAACCTCAGTCCTCAAATGTTCAATATAAGTTCCTGAAAACATGAAAAACTCAAAAGTGCAATCCCTCTTGCCTTACTAGTAGCAACGATGAAGGCGACGGTTACGCCAACCGTTGCAAATCTATGACATACTATGATTATGAGCAAAGCCGGACAAGAACTATTCGGACAGGTGGCACAGTGAAGGCAAAAAGCACTGGCAAGCCTGCACCAGTAAGCGCAAGCCTTTGACGAACCTGATCCGGGGTTGAGGGGTTCAGGCATGTTCAGGCCACTGACAATTTGAATGGCTTACTGGGCCGTCACAGGATCGGTGGAATGCTCTGTGAGTGCAGAGCTCGGCTTGTCCTGAATTCTCTATGCCAAGCGTTCCAGTCCCCCTGTCAACTTCATTCCGGCTTCCTGACGACTCTTCGAAGCTTGGCTGCATAAACGTTTCATTGAGGACTTCATCAAACGGCTTCGGGTCTCGTGTTTAACTCTAGCCATCCTACACGATCCACCAGGTGTGAGGGAGATCTTGGAGACACATGCTTTGAGATGTGCAAAGCGAGAGCGGCTGGCCCCAAACTCCTGTTCGAAATGTAGTGTAGAGTGTTCTGCTGCTGCTGCTACTACTACTACTACTACTACTACTACTACTACTACTACTACTACTACTTCTACTACTGCTACTACTACTACTGCTACTACTACTACTACTACCACCACTACCACTACCACTACCACTACCACTACAACTACTACAACTTCTTCTTCTTGGTGCTACTGCTACATCTGACATCCAGCGCCGTGGTACCATCCTTGAATCAAGTCTCTGCCCTTGTGCATTCGGGGCCCTCTGTGGGTGACCACCAATGTTGCACCGGCTGCGAGCTCCATTTTCTGGGCTGCAGCATCTATCTGTCTACATATGTTCATAAACATATACACACACACATATATATATATATATACACACATATACATGTTTGTGCTTGCGTGCCTGTGATGTGGTGCAGCGTTCCCTCCCCCCTCACCCCATTGTATTCTCCCCCGCTCCTCCCGCGTGGTCCCTGAGGCTGCTCTTTCAACCCTCCATGGTACCTGAGCATTTTTTTGCGGGGTCGTGATTGGCTGCATGGTCCACACCTGAGCACGGGGCTGGCCCTGTGGGGGTCACTGACGCGGCGATGCGGGACCACATGCCCAATAATGTGTCTCAACACGAAAACAGACTCTCGAATAATTCGCAGGTCCGGGCCTGAATGTTCGCATTAAACGAACTGCGCGGACGCACTTTAACGTCCTCATCCAGGGATCTGTGGCAGGTCTGCAGGGCTAAAGCTGCAGAAAGCTTCGGAGTCGCATGGAGTGGAGCATACCTGCCCCCGAAGGCTTCTCAATCTGGAGTTGGGCACACTCTCTATATAGCCTCTATAATTCTATAGATTTTGTGCCAATCGCTGCCCCCGTCCTGACAATCCGCAGGGCACTGGCATTGGGAGCGCCGTAGTTGGCCGGAGTCATGACCAATAAATCGATAAACCTGAGGAAGCTGGACCCGAATGGCAACTTGATCGAAACAAATTCCAACATGTCCTACCTAGCAGCAGCAGCAGCAGCAGCAGCAGCAGCAGCAGCCGTAGCCGTAGTGGCAGCGGAAGCAGTAGCAGTGCTGCAGCAGCAGTAACCGTGTCAGCAGCAGTAGCAGTAGCAGCAGCCGCAGTCCGCCCCGGCATCAGCCTGTGCTTTCGGGATCTGTCGGGCTCATCGGAGGAGGACTTACTATGATTTCAGATCTGTTCTTGATAGCCTCACCAGAGGTCAGAATCAGACTCGAGGTAACATGCAGACTGGTAGGGCTGCTGTGGGTTCGGAAAACCGAATTCGAAGCTGGACGTTGCAGAAGAGTGCAATAAAATTCGCTTACTTTGATCAGAATCTTGATCAAGCACCACGTGAGCTTTCACCCAAGTGGCCCAACGACCACAAGGACCGCGTCGAAGAGGTTTGCGTAGTCTGTATGCCTTGGTGGCTCCTACTCTCCAGAGTAAGCCGCACTTCGAAAAACTAAAATGAAGCTGCTGGCACAGATGATGCGGCATGAGGCTTGAGCTTGACATGGAATCTGCAGCTTATGCAGGCTCTGGCTTGGAGAGAACGCCTCTCCATGCCCCGAAACGAACCGCTGCAGTGGCAGGGGCCTCATTCATACGATCTCTATGACTGACACGAAAGTGCACGCGCTCCGCGTAGAGACAAACTGATGAGTGGCGCGTGCACGGCCCATCGTCACGGTTGGACTGCTTGCTGATATCGACATCAGTAACTGGCCCAGGGCTCGGGCCGAAACCACTAGACTTCCGATACGCTGGCTGTTGGGCTTTCTGAGGGAAATCCACAAACTCAGTGCAGTTCCTGACAGCCAGGCAAGTCGCCAGCGTGGCCACTCAGCCAGCACCCGCATGAGAAGCTCCTGCAAGCAGGAGCCCGACATTCTCACTACAGGCCCACGCCGTCCCGTCCCGTCGTCGGCCAGTTTCAGCGAGAGCGGCCAGACTGATACTGGTCCTACTTGGAGGTTCATGGGATAGTTATATGTTGGGTTTTCAAGCCCCTCATATGTGTTAGAAGTATAGTTACCCTAGTTGTAACCCTACCTACAAGTAGCCATGAACCTCCAAGTACTCCTAGTTCAGCGGCCATGCTAGGCCGAGACTTGGAGAACCGAAGCGGAGCCTGCCTACGGTCTGCTTCTTTGCATCTCTGCCAAGTTTCGACCTTTTGCTTGCCAGAAGTCCAAGCAGAATCTGGACAGTCTAACTCCAAGACTGTCAGGGTAAGGCGTCAAGTCCAGGAATGCCAGGGATGCTGCGGAAATTGTAGTTGGCTTGGAGGCCTTTGCTGTTTCGGCCATCTCCGGACCCCACACCACTTTCGGCAAGGTCGGTGACAGTCTGGACATGCTGAAAGCGGACATGCCAAAGGCTTCACAACGACCGGTCCAGAAGGAAGATGGTCATAAACGCGACATCCGCTGTCTCGAAAATAGGCAGCCTCGGGACAGCTATAGCCTGTGGTGGGGGCATCCTGTCTGCTCTGGGGTTCGGGAAACCACCAGAAAAATCATAGCCGAAAGCTTGCTTGCTGGTGCAAGCCACCATCCTTTCAAGAGCACTGGGTCCACATCTACCTGGGTGCAACCGGCAAGGTGCAGTGAGGCTACGCAAGGTGCCATGAATACTCGCAAAATATCAGGGGTCACGCTTGCTAGCTTCATGGCAGTGTTGAAACCCATCAAAGGGGTAAGGCTTTCATCGAGGTGACGGAGACACCTGTGCCGCGTCTAGTGCCCGATTCCGCAAAATGCATGCAACGTCTGCAAGAGTCGAGGCCCTACGCAGGAGCCCTATGCCCTTCGGCTTCCCTGACTGACTGCGCTACAGATTTCACCAGTCGCGGCTGAGTTAGGTTACAGCGATCGTTCCCGCAGCCAGATCAAACTGCGGAAAAGCCTTCCAAATCTCCTACATCAAACCCGGCTGCTCTTGAATCAGTTCCTGAATCCCCAACAACTCCTGACGGCCTTCAAGCCAACCATTTGCAAGGGACCAAACAACAGCAGAAGCAGCAAGCAGCACGAAAAATCTAGCTGAAACCCCTCACAAGCCCTGGGCCATAGTAATTGAAGGAGGTGCCAGATAGCCAGCGTTGGCTCCAATAATTTGGCCTTCTACCTGCCAGCTCACTTCTCAGCTGCGCTGTGGAGGTTAGGCAGCCTCTCAAGCGGTTCCTGCACTGTCTAATAGAGCGGTTTTTGCACTTGACAGGGCATCTAGATTTCAGCTCGCGAAACCTTCTGGCGCTTCTGTAGTTTCCCAGTGTCAGTAAGTCTTCGGCTCGAGGTTGCAATGGAAAGTGTCGGTGTGTGCCCAACTGCAGTCCCGCACCGCATGGTTGCAATGCAATGGACGCTTTGCTGTGTCGGGCTCCGTGGGAACTCGCGACTCGCGGTTGCCACTGATGTGGGTTATGCAGATCTGACGACCGTTCAGATGCAGGGACCCTGTTGGGGCAAATCTATGACCCATGCTCAGGAAACTATGATTTACTTTGCCACCCCTCCACAAACAGAGTTGTCCGAAGGTTCCGACTATACATTCATGGAAAACGTCAGTCGACCAAAATCAGATCATATGCAGGGCTAAACAAATACAGATCTCCTCAACCGGAACCTCCAACATCACACTGAGCACCTCCAGCTCCAGAAGGAGCAGCAAGCAGCTGAAAATCACCAACGCACCGGCGACGAAGTCAAGAATGTGACGAACTCTTCCCCAGGTCTTAGGAGAAGAGGCAGGAGAGGTGTGGAATTCGGGTTGCGGAGCTTCAGCTGGCGAATTTTACGGTATGTTAACCTATCAAGTATTGGATCGTAGTCTTCTGGGAGTTTGTGCCTTTGTGACCCGGTGCAGATAAGCCTTGCAGTAGGCTCTGTACGCAAGAGACTCAGGCTTCGTATGGCTTCGTCCTGTTGCTGATGGGGTGCATCGGCTTAGTTCCTGTAGCTGGGCGGATCTTAAAGCAGCACCCACCAGAACCTGTTCAAGCTATGAGACCCCTACCCCTGCTGACGCCATCTTGCTCCGCTTCCGATGAAATTCCGGAAGTGAACCGTACACAGACACTTTGGAATCCGTGGCTAGCGGAGCTTGGGCGGACCTCATCTGCTGGATACTTTGGATCTTTTGGGAATTTGGAGTTTGCGGTTACTGCCTTTCTGTATAGAATGCCGGGCTACAGCCGGTTGCCACGGGCCTGGCTCTCACACCCCGCAAGCCCAGAATCCACAAATTCCGCTTCAACAGCAGCCTCGTACCCACCCCCGTGGGAAGAGCTTCGAACTTCATTCTCGACATTGGTGTTTGATGTGTCAGGATGGCAAAGGGGACCCACTGCCCAACTAAAGCCCTGTATGATTCTAATGCATCCACCACCCAAGTGGCCAGCGATTTGCTGATTTCCTGCAAATGGAAGTCCACGGCTTTGACTTTGTCGAAAGATTTCATGGGGCCTTCAGGGCGGGGGCTCTTGCAGAACTTTCCAGCAGGACGGCTAGTGGACGAAGTTCCTTGAAGAAAAAATGAGTGTTAAATTGCTCTGTACAGCCAGCGCCCAAACCACAACTGAGATTCTGAAACCTAGGTTAGGAGTTCCGAACCATCAAGTTGCTAAATTTCATCACAAAGATCAGAAAGATGCAAAGGCTCCTCATGATGCAAAATGGCAAAAAATGATTTCCACGGGCAACTCTGCATGCTTGCCATCGCCCTACAGTTTTCAACATGCAGAAGCAGCAGAGTTCAATCGCTGACTGCCGCCGTGCAGTAGTAGTCTGCCTGCGATAAAAAAAAAGAGCACCTGTGAAAAACAAGGCGTTCGTGAGCTTTTGCCGATTAGCGTGTCGGGGGCGGGCGGGGCTCTCCAAGGGCAGAACTTCAGAAACAGAACTCTGAAAATTCGACGACGGCACATCTGTGCTACTCAAACCCCGAAGAGTGTCCTTGTTTCGCAAAACTTCAAGTTGTAGCCCTGCATACTCAAGTTCGTCACCTGAAGTCGACCATGCATGGACCGTCGAACGACGATAGCAGAATCACTGCATTGTCTGGATGTTGAGGGCCCAAATCCTCTGGCCCTAGATCCACGCCTATGTAGTGGGACGTAGAAGTTTCTCGCTCCGTATCGCCTCCTGGATGTTGCGATCGGGGCTTCATGCTGATTCCGATTTGGTTCGAGGTTCACAAAGTTTTGACACGAAGCTGAAGATGATCAGCTTGAGCTCACTTCCGAAAGCGACTGTACATTACTACCGGCTCGTCCACAGCCGCAATACTACCATCACGACCAAGACCACGATCTTTACCGCCAAATGCCACCAACAGCCGTAGCATCAGCAGCTGTATTGGGTCATACTACCACCAGCATCTTTAGAAGAAACTCATGCTTCTGGCCTGATGTACTAGACTAAACACATCACTCACCTCACCCAACACTTGGTTTCCAGGGCTGTGACCATCTCCTAGCCTCTGGTGCCGGAAACCGTGCATGAGGCTTCAAACGCAAAGTCGAATCACTCAGGCAACCTCAAGAAACCCTCTACACAACGGCCCATGTGAAGAAAGGTAAACAGGGCAAAAGTACCCATACAAATCCAACACCATGTGAAACCGTAAGAGCAAACTTGCTATGGGGGCCTGAATATCTAGAATAGGGTCTGGAAGTGTATTGTGGTTTGGTAATAAGACGGTAAGGGGATACTGTTACCACGTCAGCACCAAGCCTTCGAAACTCAGAGGCACCCGAAACCCTGGAAATTCATGGATGCAACTTTGAAGTAGGACGATACATTCAGGGTTGTGATGCTTCACCTTGAGGCGTCTGTATGAGAGTGCCCTTTGCATCCTGTGCAGAGTCCAACTCGCAGCAAAGGGCTCCGAGAGTTTCTGTACGAGTTACTGTTCGAGTAACGACAGAGCTGTCATGGAACAGAAATGACGACCTCTAAATCGTCATTACCTAGATCGAAACACAACTCCCGCCTGAGGAGCACTGAGATGGCCTCTTCGTGGAAAGAGTTGGAGGACACCTCACGAGTTCACGCTCACTGTGGAAACTAACTACTGCTGCGGAGCTTACAGCTGCATCCGAGGATCAAAGCCAAAAGGGCTTTGCTTCAACGGGCTGAACCCAAACCGTTGAAACACGTAGTTGAAGGAAGTAATTTTGATCATGTCGATATGTATATGCCCCCTGTGCACGACACATGCCATGAACTGAATCTGCTCGGTTTCTTTTATGAGAGCGTAAATGACTACTATCGCTGCTTTTGTTGCCATTCCTGACCTATTCCTCTTGTTACTGTAGCCGGTAAGACCATGCTATGCTTGTGTTTTACAGGCAGAAACCCACATAATAGCCGATGTCAAACAATAGAGATGCTGAGAACCCATGTCACATATGCACGAGTTTGTCGTGGCTACTGATAGAAAGGGGACTGTAACCGCGGAGGAAGTCATCATGCTCATAAACATATTTTCACTATATATACAGGGCGGTCGCCCATGGGGGTGCGCATTTCGCCCGGCGCCTGGAGACACATTTTTGACGACACGTGATTGGAAAGCCCCATGCAACCCCTGGCACCATTTACTGACGCCACTTCTCGTGACGCAAAGTAGCTGCGCGGCGCCTGACGTTGGGAACGTGACGTCGTGACGCCTCGTGAGCTGGTGACGCGAATTTTGATGCCGCGTCCGTGTGACGCCACGTGAGTTCGCGAAGGCTGTTGGGTTTCTGACGACACATCCGGCGACGCTTTCTGGCTACTTGACGCCACCTGTACCACCAACGCCACATATCGTCACAACGCCATCTTTCTTCGATGCCCCGCGACTGAATGCGACTGACAGACGCGAAGCCGTATGTGTCTGCTGACGCCCATGTGTCTTCGCACACCGTTCTAGAGAGCCTGAGACGGCGGCCCCACGTGTCTTCAAAATGTGTCTTCGTCTTCGGGCGAAATGTGCACCCCCCAGGCAACCGCAATGCATATGTATGTACACATACAGATTCATGTCTATGTGTGTGTGTGTGCATATGCCTGTGTGCACGTATACATATTTGGTACTTCTAACCATGGATTGTACGCTAGGTCATCGCATTCCCCGGAGGTCGTGGTCAAGTAAGACACTCCGAACACGATTGTCTGGCCTCTCTCTTGCGATTTTGGAGACCCCGCTGTTCTCAATGATCACGTCAGCTGGATTCTCCACAACTTCACCCCCTTCCACGGCAGCAAGGTAGAGGGCGACTTCCGCGAGTTCCGCCCAGTGATCGCTGTTCCCGTGTTGAATCTCCGACTACGACGACGAGGAAGCTTCCCCGCTGCTGGGCATCATAGCGGGCAGGTTGTTGAGCCGTGCGAGTAGGTAATCCACGTCATGTTGGGATGTCGTACTGTGCTATGTGAGTGTGCCCCTCGGCAGAGGTCAACCTTCGTCGTGCTTTGTCGTAGATGCGCCGTACGGCTGCGTGCGTGCTTTCTTAGTCTCAGGTCCGGTCTGGCATTTGAAGTAGGGTGGGGGGGCGGAACTAGCAGAAGCAAACGCAAGCGTTCGCTCTTCAGCTTCGAACACTGAACTAAACCCCGGCTTTGAAGCACGGGGCGTGGAGATTCTTGCTCTGAAGGTCTTCTGTGACCCATGTTTCACGGTGCGAAAACCTTACGGAAACCTGTAGCTCACAGGGATGGGTCCTGAACGACTTCACTGTTTGGTTATAGTTTGTAAGAATGCTCAGTGCAGGCTCTTGGCCCTCGCTAAGCGTTCCAGTTTTTGTCCTGGCATCGACTCTGATTGGAGAAAACAAGCTTTCATAAAGGCTCACGACTCCATCAAGCTGCAACCCTTGCGTTTTGGCGTCCAGGGCCCGGCTACAGAAGTCATGGCCCATCTCAATAAAATACAGGCCTTAGTAATTGGAATATGGCTTCGAGGCTAATTATACTATAGTTATAATAAGGAAACCCCCAAAATAGTACTTACAAGTATTCAGGCCCCTATATCAAGCACAGCCCGAGCGGCATCTGGGGCTCTTCGTCTTCCGGGTCTCGGCGAGGGGATGAAACCTCCTGCAGCGAGGCGCGATGCCGGTAACAGCCACAACAGCAACAGCACAATGACCAGCAACATCCAGCGAGGTGTCTAGTTGACGTGGAGACCCGAAACTGCTGCAGTTCATTGGCTCGTGCGTGCATTCGTTCAGTCTGTCTTCTGCTCATCCATTCATGCGTTCCTTCCGCTTCTTGTATGCATGGTGTGCATACATGCACGCGATCACTCGTTCAATAACCTTTTCATTTATCTGTTCACTAAGTCAATCATTCCCTCATTTCTGTCTCATTCATTTCCTCACCTGCTTTCTCTCGTTCTTTCACGAACCCCCACACACACACAGACAGAGGGTTGGAAGGTACAGACACGCCCGCACATACATTACGTACCAGCGTACGTAATGTAATGTAATACTCTGTGTCCCTGACGCCAAACGGCATCCCTAAGCCTTACGGAACCTTAGCTTAGCATTGAAACATGTTCGAGCATTACTCCTGGTCAAAACGTCAACCCAAAACCCTGGACCGCTGACTTCCAAGACCGACAGATATGCATGGCTAAGCGGGGGCCATTACTTATCCACCCGAAACATGTCACAAACATGGTTTCCGCTGAGGCTAAGGGATTCTGCAAAAGGATGTGCAGAGTTCACAGACCGTCGTGAAGATCTGAAACAATCACGTGCCGTCTCATTGGAACCACGTCCCGGACTGTTCACAGCGAGCAAGCACGTATCACCAAGCCAATGAAGAAGCGTCAAGCTACTGCATCACAACCTCATACACCCATGTATCCCTAGACAATGCAGCACGCATTGAGCCTGGAACAACCGGGTACTGCTTGCACGTAGTCTTACAAGCCGCGTCACGCGGCACATCCTCGAAAAGCCCTGCAATCATGGCCTATCCTTGAAGCCCTTCCTGTCATTCAGCTGCCACGCAAGTGCCCCACAAGTGCAATGTTTGTCGGATCAGAAGCATCCGTGGCAACAACAACCACGGGACAGGCTTACTACAAAAATCCGCAAAACTGTCAACATGCTCCTTACAGTTCCATCATATTACATCACTCCCATCACCACCACCACGACCCCTTCTGGCAGCCCTCACCATTCCACTACCGCCGCAGCCACCCGCTCCCGCCGTCAGGAGGCGGTAGTGGTAGTGCGAGCGCGGTATCAGTCGATGGACATCGACCCAACAGTCATTCAACAGTCCACACTGACCACAGTCAAATCTTTCAACCGCAAGCCCCTTGCATGGCCAACGCCTTGTGGCTTGCCCACACTCAGCATACGGACAAGATAGCCTGCTACCCTCCAAGACAGCAACAGGCCAACCGCGAAAAGTCACAACATGCAGATGGTCCAAAATGACAACAGCCTGCATGATGCACATAGAAACCAGGGTAAATGCGAGACCCCCCATCGCGGATCCCAAGCCCCTAGCAACAGCCCGAGGGGGCCTGCCCTGCGAACGTGTCAGCGAGCATGATGGCCGGAAATGGATCCAAGCTTTCCTGAGGACACAGCTAGGAGTTGAGTTTCCCCTCTCATGCTCGAGACAAGCAAGGCTGCCAGTGGCTGAAGGATTGTGGCTTGCAGCCGTGGTTCATTAGATTCTCTGGAGCCTTGGAGGAAACTGCGGTTTACTCCTCTTTCCTCAAACAGATCACGTCGTCCGCAGTGATCAAAGGCAACAGTGAAGTACTCTTGATCCCGTGCAATGCTCAGAAACCTTGCTCGCCTCAACGTCCACATTGCGTGACCGTTAGCAAAGGGTTTTGTCCCCGATGCAGATCACAAAAACAACGTTACATCCATGCCCTAAACTTCTCTGTAAGCAACAGTCGCAAATTGCCCCATACCCTAAACCCTTTTGGAAACCGGGAATGCTGGCTACCAGAACATGACTCTCCGACTTGTTGCCAAGGATTCAGCCCCCTGCTTGGAGGTTCATGGGTAGTCATAAGTAGGGTAACTATGCTTATAACCCATACTAGGGGCCTTACAACGCCACTGATAACGACCCCTGAACCTCCAAGTAAACCGATTTTTGGCCCAAACTCTGACACCATCGGCTGCTCGACGGCCTTGACCTTACCCAGCGCAGTCATGCCGGTCAGTCCTGCAAAATTCAACCGCGACATCCCTTTGGTGCCATTTCAACACCCAGTGACTGGTGTTTTCTCGGTCCAAGTTTGAGGGTTTGGCAGGGTTTGGGGCTTCGGTTTGACGAGACATGTAGTGTGCAACTTTCAAGCCCTCAGCCCTCAGCACTAAAGTCATCATGTCAGCCGATCCACCTGAACAGCCAACTAAATGACATCTCAACCTGCGTGCAACAGAGTGGGAAGCCTGGGTCTCCACTGATGGCATCTGATGAACTCCTGGGGCGAGGATCTCGGCTCTGAAAAATTTGTGTAAATCGCTCGTACGGGTTACCAATTCATCTTTGCACGTGTTCAATCGTGCTGCGTGTACCGAAGCCTGACAGATGTTTCAATCCAGCTTGGTTGGCAAACATCCAAAGAACTCCTTTTCCCGCCCATGCATTGCAACAAGACTGCGCAAGACGCCCAGCACAGCCCAGGCACGTCCATTGCAATCAATATATCTATATATATATATATATGTGTGTATATATATATATACACATATATATATATATATAGGTTATGTCTGTGATTCTGTCTGTTATGTATGTATATACCACCTCTCCGCATGGCCAGCCTCTGCGAGGAAGCTGCCAGCGAGCCCTCAAGTTCGGACCGATGTGCCTCAACACCCAAGAACTGTTGTCAAAAAAGGCTTCAGCTTCGTTTGGCAGAATATGCCAAGGGCGCTGTTCTCACTGGATTGATCTAGGTGGCGGCGTAACTTCTACTAACTTCCAAGGCGCTTGCATCGCGAGGGGGGCGACGCCATAATGCTCTAGCTGTCCATTTTCATACGGTTTGACGGTAGGACTGTGCAGTTTTGTGCGTCAAAATGCTGGCGTGATTTCAAGGTGTGGTAAATCACGCGTTCGGCCCTGGATAGCAAGTTCGATCGGCTGGGACAGATAATTCGATCGGTTGGGAGCCTGGCATGCTAAGAGCTCTCGGACAGTCCAGGGCGGCAGCTAAAGTGGTCGCTTTCGAGGTTCTGCGCCTGTTCAAGGCTGAGAACCGCGCTTCGGCCAGTCGCAAGATATCTGCGTGCTGCCTGAGCCAAAGCTTCGGATTGGGTTGCGACTCCCACCCTCGCTTCACTCCCCAGATCGGCAGGACCCGAGCGTCAGTAGGTTCCCAACCCCTTTGCAGCCACCGCCCAAGCAAAAGGAACATTCCAACCCCTTGTAACTTCTGCCAATCGTTTCAAGCACTCGAGCCATTCGTCAGAGAACTACGGCGCACGTGTTGTGTGAATGAAAGCAAGAAATGGGAAAGTCATGGCTGAATGCATGATCAACGAAAAAGGCACATGACCGTGAAAACTCCATCCGTAGATACCGAACCCTGAACCCATGGTAGTGGGAGCACTGGGGCGGGCCTGGCGACCACGCGCAGGAGCTCCGGTAACGACGCTTGGGCCTGGCTACGGAACTCAATGACGAAAGAGCTCCTTAAAATCAGATCGCGCAGGTGTCCTTCTGTTCAGGTGGATTTGCTCAAGATGTCGGTACATGGTTCTTACTACCACGGCCCTGAATGTTTTGTGAAAGCTCCATAGAAACGAATCACAAGCGCAAGAGTAGAAGGCCAACGACAACACAGGAAGTATGCACCACGATCCGGATCCCCCTGCCTGGACTGAGGCATGTCCAGAAGACATCGAGTGACTAACTTGGAGAGAGCCGACCGATTTTACTAACACTCGCTCTCGACCACCGGGCTTCGGGTTTTCAGGTCGAAGGTTTAACAACACGAGCACAGGACTGCGAGGTTCAGGATGAGATGGATGAGGAATCGCGGCAGAAAAGGTAGTGAATCCAAGCGTAAATACAAGCCAACTTGGTGTAGTTGCCCAAGATGCATGGTTAGCGGGGCCTGTTTTGATTAATTGAGGATCGTCGATCCTACTATTCTTCGGCTCATTCAACCAGGTTAGACTAGTGTTCGCATCAAGCTTAGAATATGTGCCTAGCATGTGTATGAGGTTCCGGCGAAACTACCAATCTCGAGCCACTTATAGAATGACAGGTGCTACTATGATTCAGTGTTACTTACGCTCTCGCAACTCGGACTCTGCCAGACGCGGTCTCTCGGTTCATTGTTACTCATGGTTCAGTTGGGTTCATGATGAGATAGGGTAATAAGGATGTGAGGCGGCGCCAAGATAAACATGCCGTCAAATTCTCACTTGTATTCTGAGCCTCACAAGCTGACCGGGCAGGAATCCTAAATTGATCGGTCAGGATGCCACAGCAACGGATTGAATCATGATTTAGTTGGGGATGTGGTCCAAGATTAGGACTCTGCCGGAATGGCTACCCAGAAAAGTAGTCCTGCCGAGCTCTGTCACAGAAGAGACGGCACGTGTCACAAACTGCCCGCTTCGGCCCGCCTCCATGCCGGCCTATGGGGCTGTGGCGAGCGGGCACAGAGTCTCCTCGACCCTTTTAAGGGAGAGACTTCGGCTCGATCCCCAGGATTAGGACTCTTACCCGTTACTGGGCAAATTTGCCTACATCATGCTGGAGCCGGGGGCGGCCCACCATGCAAGCGGAACACTACTTCGCAGCTAATGCACCACGTGTTTGTTCCAGGCACGCCAAGACATCTTCACATCTACGGTCATCACAGTCGCACAACAGAAGCAACAGCAGCAATAGTCGTCGTCGTGGCTATCGGTGCATCGAAAACGGTGGACAGTGGAAGTGAAAGCAGGACAGTGGAACAAGCCACACCCGCACAAAAACCGGGAACCTGCTTGACTTGGAGCTAGGTTTCGAAACCGCGTATCATAGTGCCCCGAGGACCTTACCAATACCGAAGCTGTGCATAATACTACTCGCAAGACGCCAGAATCCCAATTGCATAACTGCAGTACATCCTTCGCGGGAAAATGGTCTCCCCGATGTGCACAGGGCCAACGAATGGCAATCTTGACATTACAAGCCCGGACGGCGGCCGCACATTCGCGCTTTTGGCAGATCTCTTGTGCGAAAAGAATCGGCGGTCTCTGGGTCTGATCATCCTACTGATCTTGCAGTCAAATACATGGGCCGACATAGACAGAAGAAGGCTTTGCGGAAAGAGCTGCCCTGCGACACTTGCCATAACATGGTTCAGTAGGTCAGTAGGTCATCCCTCGGTCCCTGTATTCTCGACAGTCTGCGAATTTTGCGTCCTGGCATGGAGCTTTCGCATATAGCCCCCTTGGGCATCGAGCACAGCGTATGGGAAAACTGGCTGCATGAGAGCGAAAGAGCCCGGGCCCTTGAAAGGGCAACCGAACAATCAGAACGAGATGCCGGCATACCAAGTGAAGAGTCAACAATTGCCAACTTGCACACAAGTGGATCGCACTACCAAAGCCCTGCGGCTTGACTGCTACGTGCCAGGCTGGCTGATTGAAACTTCAAGCATGAGCATTGCTTTCCTACCACGTTTCCACCACTGCCAGTACCACTACTGACTACTGCGATGCCAACGTGTGGCAGAAGCGCGAACACGACTGCACAACAAGAACCGTCCCCACTACGATCTCCGAAGAAAGCCGGGCCGAGTCCTTCGCCGAGCAGCTGCGTCGAGGAGCACTCTAAAAGATTGCTCTACGCATCGGGCCCGAGGATCATCTGAGCAAACTGAGGAGGTACCTTCCTACTATTTAGGGTACTATATTAGGATCCCCTATTTTACTGCGCTTCCAAGCCGGTGGGAACTGTGTCAGAACCAGTAAGTCTTGGCAACAGTTGACACAGCAAAAGCAGTATACGGCAGCCGCTGTGGCAGCGGCAGCAGCAGCAGTGATCCGGAAAGCTTGCACTGAGACTGCCAGACAGGGCAGCAGCAGCAGCAGCAGCAGCAGGGCAGCAGCAGCAGCACAATTTGACCAATCATGTGCACCATCTTGCTGCTAACCATGCTCGATGAAAGACTGCCAGGTATCACTACAGAATTCTCGCGACCTGCCCTTTGTGGGTCTTCTGGTTCCCGCCCTTATGTGCAGCTTATACTACAGTACTGAATGCATCCAACGCAAAGAGCTCACTGATCACGAAACCCAAACTCGAAGGAACCTCGGGCCCATCGTCTTAAATGCTTAAATGTCAAAGCGCGGAAAGCGCCGCCGTCCCCAGGAACTTTACGCGGTTGCAAGCCCCAACCCAAAAGCCCTTGCGGAAGCCCAGGGAAAATCCTAAACCCCACCCCCAAACCCGGAAAAGGCTTTGGTTCAACACATGCCTTAAGCCGAAGCTCGGCTGGTCTCGCCCCTCTTTAACAGAGAAACAACGGGACCTGAGGCAACCTTTACGGTCCAGATGATCATAGTTATCACAGGAATACTTGTTGTCATTGTACGGCACGAAAAGCGGATTCATCCGTAATAACAGGAAGAATCTTCGTTCGACTTGGTGATACTTCTCATAACAACGCAACAAACGATCAGTATCACTACCATCACTTTTAAGCAACACTTCCCATCATCAAGATCATACAACAATTGAAACAGCGTCTCCTTGGTGGTTTCGATGAGGTTAAGGTTGGAAATAGCTGGGATTGCTCCAACCGCGCCACCTTGGGCTTTCTCATCCCTGGCACCAGCAGTTTTGCCTTGCCGCGACACGGCCTCCACGGAGACCCCGTCCGACGCCGAGCCCTCTGACTCGACTTGGAAGCTTATACCGCGGCCTCTCTCGTTAGAACGGAGTTTAAGCGCAGATTATACCATAAGGATGTCGGTACTATGAGGGTGCAGAAATTAATCAGAACCTTACAAGTGTTTTGGGCTTGAGATTTCGGTGTTGGCTCAACGGCCTTAGGGTCACAGTCTTTAGGCGTTTGCTTCTTTAATGCTTCTGAAGTTTGGGATTGGCGCTCTGGGTAGGCTTGTAGGGCTTTGGGCCATGGTTAAGGGGGTTTATGGGCGGCTCGGGCACTACAACTCACCACATTCAAGAGGGTGGAGCCCGCCCGCGCCATGTATGTTTTAAGTTCTTAAGGTGCGAGATCGGAGAAGGTATCATTTCAGCATCACAAGGAGGCATCCAGGCTTTCTTGACATCTAAACCAACAAGTCGAATCAGACAGGTCACAAGGGGCTCACATACGAGGACTCTCTCTTGAAGTGCTCTTCCTCCTCTGAGCAGCTCTGCTTGAAACCACACGAAACTTAGGTAGGTAGTGAATCGGGCTAGTCTATCTGTGTTGAACATGCCCATCTCTGAGTGAGGGCCGCTCTGGCCTTGCAAAAACTACACGATACTCACAAGCAGCTCATCTATTGCGGAGCCCTCAAACAAACACAACCGCTGCTCAGGGGAGATGGCATTGCCGTACTAGTAGCAAAGCCAGTCTCATTCTGTGGGCAATCTGTTGTAGTCATGCGCTGCCTTTCTTATTGTTCTATAAGGGTTCCTTCAAAGGGTACTATAAGAGTACTACAAGGGTTTTGGCGTGCAAGGAGCACATGATGACCGCTGACCGACTCAAACAGCCGGTGGCACACAACCCGAGGTGCACAGAAGACATGCGTTGCGGAGCTCGTACATCATAGATGCTGCATCACATACGCTTATTCACTGACGGATGGGACTGCATGCGCGAGTAGGTTCAACCCTTCAGGGCATTGTGTCCATCAGAAGGTTCAGTCTTCCAAACCATAGGTTCCAAGCTCCATTTCTGGCGACTGCTAATGCTATGCTGTTCAGACGTCTAGCCACAAGAACATCTCCGGGCATCGGGAAGTGTGGAACCAAACTTTTTTCCACGGTAGGAGTACAATGATTCGCCGTACGCTTTCGGCCTTGACCCGGGTGAGGCATCCTTCCGCCCCACATAAGATAGCAGTGAATGGGGCCATGAGAGGCCCACGTCTAGTCTGTTCGCAGAGCCGAATCTCGCACACAACCGGTCGTTTCATCATAAAGTGCAAGGTTCGGATCAGTTGAGCCATACAACACTTTACAGACACGAAAGCCTTCGACGATCGTCAGCCGTGGAAAACCCCTGCATCACTATGCATCACCTGCCAGCATCTTCGAGAACTCTCGCGGCATGCCTCTGCTCACTTGGTCTGGCAATGACGAATCGCTAGCTACCCACTAGCTCGAGGAGGCATCGATGCAAGCGACTACCCTGTGTATTAAAGGCTCGAAACAGCGAGGTCTGGTCTTTACTTGGGTTGATATTTCAGTATTTGAAGAAACTTTTGGACCCCAGGGCCTTCAGATGGACTGGTGCTCTGGAGCTGCGACTCCTGCTGCTGTGCAGCCGCTGCTTAGGTCGCCTTTTGTGTCTTAAACGATCCGAACCATGAGCTCAGCTTCCTCCGCTTCTTGGGCTTGAGGCCTTGCAACCTTGTACATGCATCGGCAGTTGAGGATCACCACTGCATGGGTACAGAGAAATTCGGCTGTTCCTGACTGGCTGCTTTTGCACTTTGCCTCCGGGGCCGCTGCGCCAACTATATCTCAAGTCCCTCCCTGAGTACTTCTTGAAGTCCTGTCCTTCGGATTGAAAGAAGGGACCTCTGCGACCTCAACACGCTTCCCCTTTAATGAACTCATAAGTTCGCGCCGCACCGATGCATCCTAAATAGCCCGGGAAAAAAGCAAGGCACCAGCACACCGCCAGGACCGCAAGGAAAACAACCGCTGGCGGCCGGGGTGGGGAGGCTCCTCGCTTCGAGGCTCATAGCCTCGAAGATGATGTCGGAAACCGGCTGCTTTAAGGTAATATAGGGTCTTCATGATTACCTTCATTATTTTGAGGGGTTCCTTCTTATAACTATAGTATAGTGGCCCCAAAGCACTAGTCTAATTGTTATTAAGGCCCCTGTAGTTTGCCTCCTGCATGGCTGAGTACACGAAGCAGGGCAACAGGTACCGAGTCGGCGAATGAGCCCCTGTAGTAGTTTGGAAGATGTTGTTTAGGGCCTCTGTGCAGTTCTTGCGCTGTCTGGTAAAGTTGCAAGGGGGTTCTGCGAATTTTGCCCGGCCTTCAGAGAAGTTATTGAGTTTCCCGCGCGAAGTCTTTACGATCCACCCCTTCATAGTAAGGCTTACATTCACAAAATTTTCCGACATCTGCTTCGAGTTGTGAAAATCACCCCCGGCTGACTACATAGCTGGGGCGCATGGGCACATGCCACTACAACGCCGCGTCTTGATCCGGCTTGAACTCACTTAGACACTCCTTCTAAAAGCCTGTGCGACTTTCCCTTCGGTAACTCACAACTCTTCGAGAAACGGGCTGCGAGTTGCCACATGCGAAACCACAGCTTAGAATGCATGTTCCAAACACTGGCAAAGATACGGAAGGATACACCTAAGCAAGGCTACCGTGAACTCTCCTCATCCGGAGTACTGTATTGAACAGGACCTTGCGAAAAAACGCGGCGTTGATCACAAATGTCCTTGTCCGTGCCGCGGTCGTGGAGCTCGCAGCTCACACTTGGGCTTCCCGCTTCCACTCCCAACGGCCACGGACGGATGGTGCGGCCCCCCCCTCTTCGTCAATTAGATGCTTCTGGGCCTCGAGAAGCTTCACAGCTGCAAAGTGCTACCGTAACAGATGCAGGGCTCAGACCTGTGGCTTCATCCTGTTTCATACCCTCCTGGCGTCAGAGAGAAACTTCCGGTATAGGACGAGGGGGTGTCCGACTGTGGAAACACCAGCGGCGTTGACTCAAAACGAGTCCCAGCAGGCCTCCATGTAACTGGGCAACTAGATCTGCGAGGATCTTCGAAAGCTTGAGCTGGCTCAGAAGCTTTCAATCTGAATTTGGTTTCTCACGAGCTTCGCGCTGTCAATGCTCTCCACTTCCCAGGCGAGCCGCAGGGCATGTCCGAGTTCATGCGCCTCCGCTTCGAAATCTTGCAACGAGGTCCCCAAACAAAATGTTTCACCCTAGCACCCTGAGCCTGAAGGCAAGCCTCCAAACATCTGCAAAACCTGAGCTCACACACTCCCTTCAGATTGCCACGTCCTCAGTTAAAACGCAGCACGAACCTTAAAGAATCACTTTTTTGCATCCAAGCCTATTGCGACTGTTAAGAATCACTAAACCACTAAACCCAAACGCTTCACTGCCTCATGGTTTTCCCTGGCGACGGCCGCTTGATCCACTCCTTGCCACTCTGTCGCCACCTTCTCCTTCAAGATTTCTGCGGCTTACAGGTTTAGGTCGCAGGCCTTGAATGGGAAGCAAAACATGAGTGAGGGCACGCCTGGCCTACTATCAAGGACCAATTACATGGCAGAGTGGCTGCTGTAAACTGCTCGGCACCAGAGTCTCGTAGCTTTCGGGCGCTGGAGGGAAAGCCGAAAAAGGCCAAGCACTCCGGCCGCACCTACCTAAACAATTACCAGTAGTATTTTTGGGGGTTCCTTATTTTGGTTATAGTATAATGGCCCCACCCCGTTGGGATGCCAACTCTCTACAATCCTCTACACAGTCTCACATCGGGCTTTTGTTGTTTCCTGGTGCCATCTTTGGGAGGTGTCGCGAGGGAACTGCAGATGACCACGCTCCGGAGTTTTGAAAGCTGGGCGAAGCTTATTCCGTCATCTAGCTTCAGTAGTCAAGCTTGTTCATGTTCTGCGTAAGCTTTGGCAGCACTTCCTTCAAAACCACATGCGAAGCCGGGGAAACCATGGCCCGAAAATGAAACAGGTGAGACCCCAATTGCCTTTCGCCCACCACCTGCCGCCTTTGGGAAGACTAACGACTAGAAAGACACAGAAGGAGACTCGAATCATACAGCCTTACCAACCCTTACCATGGTGTGAGAGTGTAGCAACCCGTCCCTGATGCGAGAGCTGCAGCAAAGCACGATGCTGGCGATGGTGCCATAGCCAAAAGCCTTTTCAATTTTGCATGAATGCCAGTCTTCTGTGAGCTCGAGTCTGGAAAAAGTACGTGGGTTTTGGGCCTCGTACAACTGAACGGAGGTGTAGAGATTTTGCTTACAAGTACTGTAAGCTTCGAAGTTCAGGATGCCCGATGCTGGGGCTTAGGGTTTGGGGGTAAAGTTCTGCGCCGAGCCGCCAGGTAGAAGGGCTTCAGGACAAGATCTTGCAAGAGACTCATGCCGGTACCTCAGTTCGACATATCATGCTCATTGTCATGATGCCGATGCGTCTCAGCGAGGGGGGCCGTGCCTCCGTGCTCAAGTCTGCCTCCAGCTGTCTTGCTTGCTATGCTCCAACCCGTTCAGATGTCTTCTCACCTGTGCCCGGAGCCCTCGCCCCGAACTTCGCCCACTTCAAGAAAACGAAGGAGCCGAGAACCGAGTCTTGCAGACTGGCATGAGCCTGGACCGACGATCATGTGTGGTAGCGATGGAGGATGATGGAGGCTTTGTTCGCCCAGAGCGCTCTTAACTGCCGCAATCGTTCCAATGCCACCACCGGACCACGGTTGGGATGCTATACTGAGGCCTGCTGCTGCAGAAACGGGATGCTGTATGCTGAGAGAGAGACAGAACTCGCCATGATCTTAATTGTGTGGGATTTTTGCTCCAGACCCTACGTGTACTAGTACGTTCCTGAAACCTTGTGATCCGAAACCCTTGGAGTGCCAATGCCCTGCCAAACTGGGCCAGGTGCTTTCGATCCACTTTCTGCCATCGGTGGCACTGACGTTGGCTAAGAAGACCAGGATGTAGGTGACGGAAAGGCCACAGTCAAGAAACCTATGGAGAGGGCCAGGTCGAACTTACGACCCCACATCATCAGCACTCCCCTTTTTGTTTCTCTGCCAGCCTCCGCCAAAGGCTTCGGCTCTCATGCTCTCTCTCTCTCGGACTTGTGTGTAGGATAACCGCACCAGGATGCCTCAAAACAACCTCGCCCGCAACGCAGAGAAGCCCTGGCAGGGCCACCTGCAAGCCCAAGGTAATCCAGATCTCCGTGACGTCAGCGGGACGGTGTTCGCTCTTTTGTCGCCCAAGAGCGGTACAGGCACGACGCGAAGACAAAGCAACCGTGTTACAGCCTTGTTTCCGATCTGCACTTCGATGCAAGACTTGCCTGCCCCGCATTGCCTAGGAGCCTACTGCAAAATCATCCAAAACCTCGATCTCGATCCGAAGCAACCCCAGCTGCCCCAAGAGCCAAGAGCCAAGAAGAGCCAAGAAGAGCCAAGAGGCCACAGCAGCCAGAAGAGGAAACTCCGTAGTCGCCAACTCCGCAACTGACGCGCCCGGGCCTTCGGAGTCCACCTCGCGGGGGGCATTTCAACAAGTCCGGGCTTCAAACGGAGCTTTGTGACTCTCGCAGCTGCGCAGACCGGCTGAGGGTTCTGAGTTCCAGGGAGCCACCTAGGACCTAGGCTATTAAGCAACCCACTCAGGCAAATTGCCCTCCGGAAACAGTCCCCATCACCAACAGCCAGCACGGAACAAGGTGTCCACAGATAAACGCTTAGGGATCGGCGATTACATGTGCCGCATTTATTAGGACTTTCAGGGTCAATACATGTACATTGGAGGCTACGGCAAGGAAACGGTATACGTTTAAATTTTGGGTACCGTGATTTAGATTTCACCTTTACAATATTCTTCTTAATGGGCAACCACATGCAAGCACTACGCTTCAGCTTTCCTCTACGAGGCCGCGGTCTTGGGGCCATGCGCTTTGCATGGGCTGTTCTGTTTCGCGCTTTGAAGAAACGTGGACAAGTTCGGCAGGACGGGATGTGAGCAAGCTTCTTTGGGGTTGCTGTGGTTTTAGCCTTGAGTCCCAGGGCAGAAGTTTCGGATTCAGCACTTAGGGCTTTGGGTTTAGCACGCAGGCACCTCTCCCGAACAATGACTCGTCGCCGCTGCACCTGGAGCTCGAGAATAACACTTTGGGCAATGGCCGAAAAAAGATCTGTGCTCTTGAATAGGTTTCGCCGTGGATACTTCACACTCGGGAATGCCAGGCCAGGTTCACAACTGACAAAGACGGTCAAACAAGTTAAAAGTGATTCAGCTGTGGTACGGAACACCGAACATGCCAGACCCAGCAAGCAGCTGCCTAAAGCATACAGGAACTCCGGCACACTACGCCACAGAAAGCTTTCCACTTCCACACACATCCATGCTAACCAAACTTCCATGCAGATGCGTGCTGAAGGGGCCACAGTCCAGGGCGCGTATACACCAACGACTGGTACAGGCTTGCACAAACTATGATCTAAATTCCAATGCATCAGCCACAAGCCATCACACATGCGGAATCCAAGTCCTATGCAGTGCACAAGTATGCTGCAGGAACCGTACGCGCACCGTACGAGCCCATGTGCCTATGGCTAGTCAAGTCATCGTCCATGGCTAGTAAGTTCGTATGCACTGTGCTATGGTCTTTTCCGGGAATTAGGGCCGAAGGGTTGCAAACAAGATGTGCAGATCGATTGATCGATCCCCACCTGTACGACTGCCTCCTAGCGACAACAAGCATGCTGACAGTACCAGTACGCATGCATCAACGATCAACCATCACAACACGAAGGCCCAGACATGCAAGGAGCAGGAAGAGCAACAAGACACATCCCACAAACAACATCAAACGACTATCGACTAATTATGGGTCATGACTTAGGAAGTCCCAGGGAGCACCAGGGCCAGCAAGACAATGAGAACGTCCCCCACGAAGGCCGAGAGAATGCCTGTAGCTCTTCGGCTCTTTGAGCTATTTACTTTAGGGGCCTTAGTAGTTACAATAGGATTCTGGGGCCCATGATACTATGACTATAGCAAGGAATCCCGAACGTAGTATAGGTAGTTATTGAGGCCGGTTTTGCACACTTCCGAGATCGCGGCTGAGGGCCGAGGGCTTACGTTCTCGCAACGGGCTCAGACGCGAGGTCTCGCAGTTCGCAGCGGGCAGGCAAAGAATAGTGATAATAGTAATAATAGTAATACCAGTAATAATAGTAATAATAGTAATAATCGTAATAATAGTAATAATAGTAATAATAGTAATAATAGTAATAATAGTAATAATAGTAACAATAGTAATAATAGTAATAATAGTAACAATAGTAAAGACTTGAGAGGCGTGACTTCAGGCTTTCACATGAAGACTACTGCAAGCAGATCAACCCCAAAGTAAACATTTTAAACCGTTGAACCAGCCGCCGAATCACAACCTAAAATCGAAAAGACCCGACCCGAGACCGAAGATTCAAGCTTTGACGAGATGCCGATTATTGTCGCACGCCAAATGCGCTCTGCCTAAGCGTTTTCAAAGCTAAGTCGGTTCCTTGGGGCTGGGCGGAACGATGTGCAGGTTTTGGGATGTAGGGTGCAAGGACTTCGCAGGTTGAGCACACTTCGCGGAGAACAAGAACATACTGGAGTGCAAGAATTTGCGCTCTTTCATACTCAGACCAGCCAGATGAGGTCCAAAGTTACCAGTCGGAGCCAACAAGAAGCGTGAAGGGGCTCTGGGGCTACCAACCAAACACACCGAAGACGAAAACATGGCCGAATCCAAACGACCAGTCAACAACCTCGGCGAAAACCCACCCTAAAGCATTGTTAAATACACGGCAGTCAGCCAACACGCAGCTCTTTCAACGAACAGTTATATTACGAGACTGACGGGCGCAGCATTGGCTACCTGACTGTCCCTGTACAATCTTGGCAGCTCAACAAAAGCGCCATCAAGGCCTAACATTGACTGCTGATGATCCAAACCTGATTCTTTGGACTCATACGACTCATTCGCTGCTTCTCCCTCAACTCTCGCAGGGTGTGCAACCTGCTGCATAGCAACACAGACAGCTCATCCATCGCAGCCACATTCACGGGCTCATTCAGATCTCATCACATCTTCAATTTTCCCGCAAAAATCCCACTGCCTATCGCTGTGCCGACCAACACCGTTCACACGAGGCAAAGCCCAAGCCGTTGTGCAGGAAGCCCCTCATGTGCGATGCCAGTTGACGGTCTTTCTCGCCCCACAGTCTCTTCACTACCCAAACCCGCATCTTGCAGACCCCGCATTTCCTCGATGGCCAAACGTGTGCAAAGGAGCTCGTCGTCCTCACTCAAACACGACGCATACCCAGCATTCGAAGCGGATGGTGTCCGACAAAGAGATTGGGCAGGTTCGACGTGTTTTGTCCTCTCATCTTCTCGGCTGCAAACCTACATTCGGACAGCATGCGAGACTTGCGCCGACATCTAGCTGCCGGGTCTGGCCCATTTTCAAACAATTTTGGCTCGCAAGATTTGTACAAGTCTGCACGGACTACAGCCTCCAAAGCTCAACTTTACGCCTTGAGGATTGTTGCGCCCTGTCAACAGAGGGCGTGAGACGGTGTGCAGACGCAAAGAAGATCGCGGGTGAAGCCAAGGCTTTAGAGGCTTTAGCGGATCACCGGGTGCAACAGATGATGGCTTGTCCGGCTGGCAACATGTCGTGGAGCGGCGCAAGACTAGGAGCTTTTGATGCAGGTTCACTGTTGGTATGGTCATCTGGTTTCGTTTGGCGGTACTCACTCAGATGGGTCCGATGTTCCGCCTGGTTGACCTGAACATCAACCCACAAGCCGTGTGGGGATGGGGCTGGGACGCTGATGCCGATGCCCACCTCCCAGCCTTACTCCCACCCGGTCCCACCCAAGTGACAGTTTTGAGAAAGCCTAGAAGTAGAACGGTTTCCGGAGAAAGGCAGGAGGCGAAACCAGTTTCCAAGAAGTGAAACTAAAGGAAGTCGCCTCAAACACCACAAAAGGCCAGGCACACCAGAATGTCTCAGAAGGGCCGCAGTGTCGTTGAGGTCCCTCCGGTGGATGTAAGGCAACCACAGCTCGAGATTTAGGTCGGTCAGACAGACTAAGATATTACGTTCTTCATCACGCACCGCCGAGCGTCGAAGGTTTCCGGCACGCAGCCGTCATCAGAACTCCCGGACCTTTGCTGCTACCAATCCCACACACACATCAAGCAATGCATGCATGTTAATACTTTTACTTGCACTAGTGCTACCACTACCACTACAACCACTACTGGCACCACTACCACTACCACCTGCAGCACTAGCACGAAATAACCATCACCACAGATGATACAATTACTACAACAACGATGATCAGCCACAGTAGGCTGAGAATCTCCAGTAGAATGACCAGCTGTAGTGGTAGTGGTGGAGCAACAACCACAACCTCATCAAGAGCACCGATCACCAAAACACAACACGTAAACTTCTCTGTCCGGGGCACATGGCGGAGCCGGAGAAGAAAAGCGCGTTCGTTGCTGCCGCAGAAACCAACTTCAGGATGAGAAGGGCCTTTTCTCCGGCTCCGGTTCGGCATTTCAGGTGTAAGCTCTCGGATCTTCCAGTCTCGAGTCTGGCTGCTGGAATTTCGATGTTTATCGCGTTCTAGGCATGCCTATACTACATCCGGTTTTTTGTCATGCTGGTAGCAAAAATTTGATTTAAGTCTAAATAGCCCAAGCCCCACACCCGTACTCCTCAAAATACCCCCGAACAGCCGCACCGGCAGGAGTGCGGCGAGGAGCCGCGCGGATCGTGTGGGACCGGAAGAGGCTCACAAACCTTCGCTGCATACATCTCACACAGTTCTCAAGGCTTCGAGGCTTTGAAACTTCGGGAAAGGTTGGTCTGTGTTGGCACCTTGAGGTGACATCATGGAATTACATAACGGGGAAATTACCGCTGTGGTGCCCAATCCTTTTGCTCGAGCAGGCACTCTAAGGACATCTTCCATAAACTCAGACGAAGTCCGTCGGATCGCGCTGTGGTTTGTCTTGACCTGTCTTCACTGCCCATGCGAATGCATGCGGCTGTGGGCGTTCCTCACATCTGTCGTCTCAAAGTCCTTCGCTCAGCTGCGCGTGGCGTAGGCCTACCGGGAGGGCCATGGCATGGCGTTGGCGCGACCAGGTGTTCACCGAGCATCATCTTGCATCGATGTGCTTTCTCGGTATCCGAACATAGCCCTGCAGACGTCTGCAAGGCAGCTAAAGGTTTCACGCATCGGACATCACTGGCATTTCAAAAGGTTGGGATAAAATCGGCATGGGCCTTCAACCAGAACCGGAACAGGGCAACTCAGCTGTACATGCAGAGACCGAAACAGCTCTATGCGCGTATACTACCTGCCTCTAACACGTCAAGCCCGACTGGGAATGACACTGCTCGTGTGTTCTGCCAAGGCGAAAGAAACTGCGGGAGCCGGATCTACGAGCACCCACAGCAAGCAACCCACTGAAGACATCACCGTCATGGCATCAAGTGTCACGTCTTGGCTGCCGGGGCAACTGGGCCAGGGAGGGACAGGTTCGGCAGGGCCGGTTTGCTAGCCGGCATCATCACAGGAACACGCGAATGACTCGGAAGAGGGCAGCAAGGACGGCTTGCATCTCAGAGCAGCCAACAGCCACAAGCACCGAGCTTGAGTGCATTTCGAGTGCCCTGCCGTTTCTTCTTCCACAAGTGCCCATCGTGTGCGAGTGCACTCTCCCCGCAAAACCCCAGCAGAGGAACTATGTAAAGAGGCATCCTGATCGTTCAAAGATGTATGGGCCCCTGTGCGTCGCTGCACGACTTGCCACGCATCGTCTAGGCATCCACTTTCAAGCATTAGTTGAGCCACCGTGCTGCAGCCTTGGGATGCTTTGAGGTTCCACATGCTCCACTTTGTGGCACTGGTGGTGCTCCATATTACCATGTCGGGGGCATGCGGAAGACGTCGCCAACAGTCGAATCTTGCTGAAATCTGCAACATTCGTGAAAGCTGCCATGGGTTAGACAACATCAGATATGTCATCAACGAAGGCTTTCCGGTTCAGGGTGCAGGAACTTGTGCTTCCATCGTGCTGCTCACCCATGAAGGTAGGCATAAAGACGTTCAACACCAAGGTCAGACAACAACCGCTCAAACTACTCCAAAGGCCAGTCGGAAACTACCTGTATGCCCAAATGCACTGCTTCTACTGATTGCTTAGCTGAGGATAGCGAAGGGTTGACCTTAAAACCACCTACGCCACGGTAGACTTCTTCGGGGTGGGCCCTGGCAGGCTTATGTGTAGCAAAAATTTGTGCAGGTCATGGCCCGTGCATTGTGCCGGCGACATTCTCACCAACCCTATTAATCTCCAACGGCACCCCATTCTAATCTCCAACGGCACCCCCTTCTACTGCTCTATGTGGAGGCAATGTCTAATTGTGGTTCACTGTTTTTCACCCTGGGATTCCTCTGGGAAGAAGCATGAAGCCGGCTCTACACCCCGGGTCCATGTAGCAGGTTCAAGCAGAACATCCCTTTTGCCACTGGCTTGCAAGGTAAGCTGACTAGAACAACCCTTGTTGAACCCAGAACTTTAACAACCCTTTTTGCTGCAGGCTTGCATGCAAGGACGCCAGGTAGTTTGCCTAAACCTCCATCCCGAAACTAAACAACCAATACACCTCTCGCCGCCCTCTCACCCACCCTCGAAAGATTAACAACGTGTCTTCTCCAGGAAGAGCGTCTGCAGGGCGATCCATGGGTGCTTGGCCCGCATCAAGAGAATAACTCGAAGCCTGGGATCCGAGGTTTAGCGGCCCAGCGCCGAACCCGAAGCCTGGAAACTTTCGCCCCCGGGAAAATTCGGGGCTGAGTGCAAGGCTTTGTTGTTCATTGGCTTAGGGTTGGGGTTTCAGGAAGTGTAGGGAGGACAAATTACATCACAGGACTCCGATGAAGGGCTGACATGCTTGCTGCCTAGGCATCGTAAGGCGCATAGCTTTTCGAACGGCAGCCCCAAGCGGAAATGACGGTCTAGCAGCTGCGAAACGAAGGCTCTGAAGACTCTAGAATCTTTACTGTAGAACTCCTGAGTCTTCTTGGATGTGGAGGCATGGGCCTGGGACTCGGTGCTGTGCTTCCCATACAGCTTTGCCGCAGCATAGCTCTGCGGAAGAATGCTGGTTGCTTTCGCATAATTGGGTAGGACTACAGTGACTAACGGCTACCGAACTTGCAACTGGTTGCGTTACAACTTGTCCTGCGGCTTGACTGCAAGCTGACCCTTGGCCTCCCGAGTGCATAACTGTGCGCCCCTGGCTTTGAGAGCTCTGAACAAGGACACGAAATGCTACAGCTGCCAAGCTGCACAAACGGGCTGGAGAGAAACTGCTTGGCGGCAAATGCCTTCTTTCCTCGGTCATCAAGGCTCTATTCGATGATCCTCTTCTTCGCAAGATGCCCAGCGCACTGCGACTGGCAGAAACTCATCACTCTGCCAAAGCATCAGAATCCATTCATAGAAACTTTTGCTTATCTAGGCCTGTGTGCGACGGCACATCAGGGAACTGCTTGACTGTTTGAGCAAAATGGCTGGACTGCGAATTGAACTTTTGGCAGCCTGGATAGGGATTGTGGCACTCGGAGCCTAACCAGTGGGGTTCTTGAAGCCCACAATGCCAGAAACATTACTTTCTCGCCAGTAAAACTTACAGGACCAGTGCTCGAAACTGAAGTGCCAGGCTTCGACGATGGTCCACCTTTTCATTCATGTGCACGAAATCCCGAACCGTCACGGACAGCGCAGATGTCTCCCAGTGTCGCACATTCCTCGGCTTATCACCGTGCACAAATGTGAGGATCTGTACCCACCAGATTGTCCGTCTCAACCGTCTGCATGTATAACCCCGAAATCAGAAAAGCAATTTAATGTTGTCAGAAGTTTTGAGGCACCCTGAGTTGAAACCTCAGGAAACCGGACCACGAATCAAAGCCGTGTGGCATCTCGCCGATGTTCGTCTCGGCAGCACGAATGCTCTGCCAGTCAGCTTGGCTGGCGTAAGCGTAGATTGCGGAGATGCAGCGATTGACGAACACCTCCTGGTTCATATGAAAACCGACCCGAGAAGGGAGTGTGTTGAGTTAATTTCCGTGAGGTCCATGATGGGTGTCCGCATTGCTTGATAACTCTTGCTGTCACGTCTTTCCGGTACCCTTTCTGTTTCCAGCCGCATTTACTTCTGATGGTGCCAGTGGGACACGTCTTGCTAGCGGCCCTGGAGCAGCAAAAATTGGCAATTTTGGTATGGTAGCGGCTGGCACAGCTGTGCCAACAACATTCGCAGCACTAACTCTATGCTTGCGACTGGATTCTCAACTGCTTGCAACGGCAGCTAACAATACCACCCGTGGTATGTTTTTAGCGCACTAAGCGCTCTACTGCCATTTTGGGACGTCTCGTCTCATCTGCAGCTCCAACTAGCCTGAACTGTCAGGAATCAGTAGCACGGCAACTACCACTAGCAACACAAGTGTACGAAATTATGCTAGTTGTCTTATGCCCAAGTCTAAAACCTTAACCACCCACGACTCGAAACCTTCTCACCACATACCAAAACCCAAACCCCGCAGAATCTGTCCTTGGCGTTTAGGAGCTCCGCTAGCAGGTCAGCCTCGGGCGTTTCGAACATCACGCCGATGCACCTGGAGTTAGGTTCCCTGGCCCCCGCATCGCAAGCAAGGCAGGTCTCCAAGTGCGACCAAGGGTTCAAAGCGGCAAGGCTACATGCTCCTCCGGTAATTGCTGTATCTTCATCCATGCCGAATACTTAACAAATCCACTCAAGCAGCACGCAGCTCAGACACGAGTCGCTGAGAAGTAGGGTTGCGGTTGAGGGTTAAGCAATCCCTTCCAGGAGTGGTTTGGCATTTGGACTTCACAGCTTGGAGAACCGGGTGCTTCACGGCCTCTGGCACTTGCAACTCCTCGTTTGAGGAAACATTACTCTTTTCATACACTTAGGCCCTGTACAAACACCACGATGTGCAACCTTGATGTTCAAGATCCGGAGACAAGCGGCCATGTGCAGTTGGCAAAGATGGAAGCTGCAGCCTCGGCTGGCACTACCCAAAGTTTCCTTGGGCGCCTCCTTTGCCACCCGCCTAACTGACAGAGTCGCACTGGGCTTAGAGTTTCGGGCTGATGCCTTGGGATCCTGGCTTAGGAATGCAACTTACATGACGGCACAAGGGTGTTAGCGAGATATTCCTCGCCTGTTGTGCCTCCTGTGTCGCAAGGGCAAGCTGTACGGTAGTGTCGCCGCAGCCTGTAGCTTTATTGGTTCCACTAAATATCGGAACGGCTCTTTCGACTAACACCTTGACAGAAGGGGCAAAGATGTCTAGCGATGAGCCTGACTACGACGTGCAGCTCTTTGTACACCTATAAACCACTGCACGGTTTGCTCTCAAGGCCCCGGAGCAAGACGAAGCTCTGCACGGAAACAACAGAACGCGGAGCGCCGCTTTGATTTTTGAAGTTGCGGATTTGGGGTTTATGTGTAGGTTTACGCTCTCGCAACTCGGTCAAGCCGGACGAGGTCTCGGGTGTAGGTTTAGGCCCCCGCACCGAAAGCCTAAAATCCCGAACCGCGCAAACGCTGCCAGAACCATCCACCAGCCTCTCCATAGGCCCAAGGAAGCTCCTTCCCTCAAAGCCTTGACGCCCAGTCCTACTCGTTCCGTTTTGCATCCGCAGTGTTCCTCAACAGCCATTCTCCGTATGCCCTCCACCATCAGGAGCCTAGCCCCGCACGATGCTAAGCACGACGCTGCAAGGCTCAGACCCTTCTTGAATGTAACCAAATCCCACGCTATCAGCTAGCTCTTTGTGATGATTGGGTGTTTATCGTACTCGTATAAGGGGTTAGCTGGTGAGGTGAGTGTTGAACAGTTACTGGTGCGTGCAGTTTAGCCCAGTAGCCCTGCAGCAGCAGCCTGGCTCTGCCTGTGCCAGGGAGCTTTGGGAATTAGGGCTTTGGGATGCAACTCGTAGCTTGCCAGCCCAGTGCATGCAGTCCCTGGATTCAGGTCGCTTAGATTAAGGGCAGTTACTGCGGGCTCCGTACTTCTGGGTTACGGTTATGCACGAACTAGCACGAAGGCTGTCACCTTATTCACAAGGCCCAAGGCTCGGAATGCCCGGATGTAGCGCACCCATAGCAGGGAAGATTTCGGAAAGCAACGGAAATAGCGACCTATCACATCACAAGAGACCAGCACCCTGAATCCCAAACACAAACCCGGAGCCTCCGAACTTACAAGTGTAGCCTGAACCTAAATTCTGAAACCTGCCCCGCAGTCTCTGCCGACGGTCTCGCCTTGTCCTTTGCGGCCACCGGCTCCTCTGCATCCTCCTCAGTTTGATGAGTGTTGGATGCCTAGGGCAATGGTGCTCTTAGGATCCCCGGCATCCGGATCCCCGGCATCCTGGTTTCCGGGATCTCAGGATGCCTCCGGTAGCGATTTTAAACACAAAAGGAAGTGGTTTCAGAGTCTTATCTAGAGTCTCTACAAGTTTACACCTGCTAAGCTGCCAAAGTCCCCACACACCGACAGTGCCACACCCGAGACGCT